AAGGGAGGACTTCCGGCCAGGCAGAGTGGAGTGAGGACAAGCCGGACAAAGGGAGGACTTCCGGCCAGGCAGAGTGGAGTGAGGTAGAGGATTTCGCTGTGCTGCTCAACAGTGTGCAGTTTCAACGGAAACTTTGGGTTTCAGTATTGAAACGAGGTAAAGCAAGCCGTGGACTGTTGTATATCTTGTCACCCAGTTCAGTGACTACAAGGAAGCTGTGATGATGAGTTGACCAGTAGCTATGACAGTTCCAAGTATGATCCACACTTAGTGCTATAACATCAGCATGCCGTAAAGCTAACCTGACAGAGGGGTGCTAAGAAGCAATTGCCATGTAGAAAACCATCCTAAAGGGCTTCAAACAGTAAGACCTGTTGAGATGTTTTAGTTGGTGAGACAGAGTGGCTGGCTGTGGTGTGGCTGTGGGGACAGAAAGGAGTACCCCAGATGTCACACATTTGTGAAAATGAGACAGACGGCACAACTGTTCTTGTCAGTGTCGAAGGGAGGAGCGTTTCGGGACCTGGTGCTGGACAGTAACTTAACGTAGACAAGCCCGGCTCGCAGCGTGCATTGTATAACAAGAGCATGTCCCGAAAACCCGTTCTGCTGACACCTTCGTCTGTGAAAGTGAGCCCACGGGAATGATACCTCGGGAAGAGTGATCCCACCACAGAAGATGGACAGGATGCTTCCGTGCCCATTCACGAGGGATTTGCAGAGGAGATTTGCAGGAGGAGAAGGGGGACCAGTGGTGTTTTGCTTTCCTGACAAATGTTGATGGGTATTTTAAAGTTTGTCACAGCTCTGACGCTGGGAGTTTTAGAAACGATGAAAGCCTTGTCTGTGTTTTGACTTAAAGCATGTCCCAGGTGGATGTGGATTCGGGCATTGAGAACATGGAGGTGGATGAGAGCGACCGGAGAGAGAAGAGGAGCCTGAGTGACAAGGTTAGTAAGGAGGAAACCTCACTTGGCTCCCCTTCTGGTATCTGCAGGTCTGCTGGGTGTCACCGGTCAGAGCGTCTGTCTGTCTGTCTGTCTGTCTGGGTAGGGTTTTCCTTTTGAAGAATGATTGGCCTCAGTTCTCAGTACATAGTCCGAGCTAGCATGGAACTGTCAGTGTACCTGTCTCCACCTCCGAGTGCTGGACTTCAAGCCCCGTCCTCCTAGCTAGCTTTGGCCCTTCTTCCCAGTGACAGTGAAACGCAGCCCTTTATACAAGAAAATCCCAACATTCTACTTGGCTTGGGTCCATGTGTTTTTGTTTTGTGTGTTAGTTTGGTTTGGGCTTTTTTGAGACAGAATCTTGCTGTATAACTCTGGCTGGCCTGGGCTGTTCACAGATCTGGCTGTTTGTTCATTGTGGGGATTGAAGACATGTGCCACCATGACTGGCTAGTTCCATGTTTTTCATTGTGAAATTTAATTTTTGTGGGTCTTTACTAAGACAGTAGATCACTATATCTTTGGCTATATTCTGAAGTAATTAAAACAAGGACATGGAAATTCTCGCAGCAAGTACAGACTTGGTGAGGCCTTTCTGTCTTCACCTGAGCTTTGGACCCTGTTCTGGGTGCCTTGAGTTCGGGTGTAGGTATCCTGTGGGGTTGGGTGTCATGCATAGTGTAGGTTAGTACACCATGTTCTGTTCAGGAAGTTCATAGGACCACTTTGGTAACATTGTGTTTGTTGTTAGAGGTTAGACCATAGTCTCCTAGTCTCTATGCCTGTAATTCTTGTTTCTTGTATGGGACAGTACTTCTGTCATGAAATCTAGTGAGAAATGTTAACGTTTGCAAAGATCCTTGAAGGAAAGTGGTTATACACCGGGAACATTACCCTGGTTCTTTAGCGCTCGCACAGCAAGTAGATGATGTAGGCAATCTTCCACCTCATTTTGCCTGGTGATTCCTGACAATGCCTTTGCTCTTACATGCTGTCCCATGAATGATGACATCGTGTTAATCTCATGGGTGACTCTGGAGACTTAACCTGCTTTGTGTAGACAAGGCTGCCTGTGTTCGAGGTGCTCCATCCGCCCTGCTTCCCAGCTCAGGCCAGCTGCCCGCCTGAGTGGTTTATGCATTTCAAAGTGTCCCTGTTAATCAGTGAATTAAACTGGAATACAATGTCTTCGCTCATGTCTCCTACTGTCGAGTAACTCTCAGCTCTTCCCACTAGGAGCCGTCTTCAGGTCCTGAAGTGTCTGAAGAGCAGGCCTTACAGCTGGTCTGTAAGATCTTCCGCGTCTCTTGGAAGGACCGGGACAGAGACGTCATCTTCCTTTCCTCTCTGTCTGCGCAGTTTAAGCAGAACCCGAAAGAAGGTGGGTTCTTGGTCAGGTCAGGGCTGCTTTCTCAGAGCAGCTGCATGCAGGAGGTGAGACTCTGGGCCTCTGTCCCTGCTGGGGACTCACTTGTTAGGGGGCTGCCTCTGGGGGTGGGCACTGCTGTGTGCTTCCTATCCTCCTTTCCCATGGATCTTACCGCTAACTGACTCTTTTTAATATCTTAAAATTTGTTTTTATTTATGTATATGTCCATGTGCTTGTGTGTATTGTGCATGTATGGATGCTCAAGTGCCTCTGAAGGCCAGAAGAGAGCATCATGTCCATCCCCTGGAGTTGTGAGGCATCCAGCGTGGGCCCAGGGAATGGAAGTTGGGTCCTCTGGTTGAGCGGCTAACTAACTGCTGAGCTGTCTCTCCAGCCTCAGTATGTGATCTCTACAGAAGGAAACTAACCAGAGAAATGAATGCTTTTCACTGTCTCAGAGGTGAAGCTTTTCCTTTATGGTGGAGACTGTTTAGAGGGCGTCAGTCCTGTAAAGTAGAAGCATGCTCAGTGGGCCCCAGGACTCGGACAACCACCGAGTTGCCTCTGTAGCATGCTGACCTCAGCTGCAGTTGAGAAGAGTGCTTATTCTAGGTCAGTGTCATCTTAGGCTCTCAGTGCTTACCAAGCAATGTGTGGACAGTCAAGCAAAATCTTTTTATTAAATTACTTAGCAAAATGGAATATAATTACATTTTGTTGTCTTCCTAGGATTCTATTTTAAGAAGTTAGCTGTGTTGAACTATACTTAAAATATTTTGCAGGACACCATATTATTGGTACTGTGGCTCTCTCTGTAATCATTTGCAGTAGAGGAGAGGTAGGCACGTGCTGTAGGGTTTTGTTTTCACACATCTCTGGAATCCAGCTGTCTGGACTGTGGGATCGTTTGCCTTTTCACTCATTGATATCTATACCCAGTCTTTAGGAAGGTCTGGTGTATAAAGGAGTGCTAAATAGATACATTTTCAATGAGGCCATCCCTGTTAGTGTGGTTACCGTTCTCTTCCCATCCAGCCTGTCTTCTGCGGGGGAGTGGAAGTCCTGTGTTCCTGGAAGGTGG